AATAAAAAAAGGGAAGAAGTGTTTTTTTCTCTTTTTTTTTTTTTTTTTTTTTTTTGCCTTTTTTTTTTTTTCCCCCCATGCACACTTACCTGCCTGTCAGAGAGACCATGTCCTGAGAGATGCTTTACATCAGTTCTTTGCCAGATCGCAGAAGGAACTAGAGCTGGGCACCCTTGGGCAGGTTGGCTTTCAGAGTGGTCCCTACCCTGCTGGCTGCTCATCTCCTCCTACCGATCCTTCACACAGGGGCTGCTTGGTACTTTTAGCCAAACTTCAACCTCCTCTCAGCTGGTCTGTGGTACTTCTCTGGGGGTTGTTGGCTTGCTTTCAGCTGCCACGGGTAGGTTTTAACTTTTTTGTAATGTGAGCCTGCATGGGGCAGCAAGGGGACACAGAAGGGAGGATAGCTCACCCCGTGGTCCCCAAAGCCAAGGCAGGTCTGAGGTGGTCGTGGGTGTGCTCAGCCTACCTACAGGGTCCTCCTAAGGCGGGAGGGAATTGGAGAGGAGCATTCAAAGGCCAATTCTTAGTGTCAGCTGCCTGAAATAACCCTTTTGTCTTTTAAAAAGCTTTGTATTTTAACAGACCTCATGGGGAAGCTGTGGAGGTAACGAAATATGATGGCCTACTATAAGACTGTAACACGACCACAGAAATACTTGAGGGTGGCTGTAGATTTTGTCAATACCTTGCTGGGGGTGTTGCCAGTGTAGCATTCAAACGAAGCATTTGATTCTCTTCTCTTACTCCTGATGCTGGCCGTACTACTGGGAAGCGTGGCAATACGGGAGGCTCAGTGGAATGTCACAGGGGTTGCTAAAGAGCAAGCAACCAGCTTTCTGCCAGTGGATAGCAAAATTTTTTTTAAAAAAGTGAGGGGCAGCTGCTGTAAGAGCTGATTGCTACTTGCTGAGGGAAGCCCAGCTTCCAGAACATCCCGTGCTGGAGCTGTGTCCTGCAGGAAACAGCTTATTCTACTAAACTTAGAAAATCAGTGGTTTCAAGGAGAGTAAGCGGAAGTTACCTGCTGGAGGACGCTGTTCTGGTGTTGGGAGAGCAAAGTGGTGATGGATTCTCACCTGCTGCCCACGGGGTGCTGAACAGAGAGGTGTGTAAATGTATAGAGTTTTGGTGGGGAGTTTTTTTGTGGTGGGGTTTTTTTTTTTTGTTAAGTGATCTGATGCTCCAGCCTCATAGTTACCTGTAATATCTCACACTTCGGCTTTGTACAGCAGTGGCTCTTGGTGAGGGGTCCCTGTAACCAGCAGCTGAAATCCCCCACCTCAAAGTAAGCTTTCCCGTCCAGCAGGGCAGTTCCCCGAATGTTGTACAGCATTTTATGCACTAGGAAAGCAGCCCCTTCCCAGGGCGGGGGGTGGGGAGGGTGTTGCAGAAGGCTAGGAATAGCTCCCTTTCCTATTTATAAAAGCTCTCACTGATATTCTCAAAGTGCAGAATTCGCTGAAGGCTTCACAGCAGAAACACTCCAGTTTACCCCAGAGCAACCATTTGGGCCTGAGGGCCAAGAAGTTCTCTGGAGGCGCAGTTCAAAGAGAAAGGCCAGCTGCCAGGCTAAGCTGATAGATTACCAACACCGGTCTTCTGCCTGAATCCCCAGCTGTGGTTCTATGTGTGGTACAGTTAGTTATGTAGCATATACATTTGTGTATAGTATAACAGTGGTGGTGTACTATAAAGCTGTAACATCTGAAAGTACTAGAATAAGTCTACTTTCATCTCAGAAATTTTAAGACCAGATACGGGCTAGCTAGGTGTTTAGTCAGGGCATGGCTGTCTAATTAAAATGCCTAGGGGGCAAGTTTGGCTGAAGCTCATTAATTTCAGCTTTTAAGAGGGGCTGTTACAGCCTTATGAGGACTCCAGTGCTGGCCCCAGGAGGATGGCCAGGCTGCTGTTCTGGGCTTTAGAAACTACCACTTTCTGGTAGAAATCCATTCAAAACTTGTGCTGCAAGGCAAGGTGTGAGGAGCAGCTAGGGGATGAGCACGTAGTTACGAAAAAGAGCAGCTCATGTAATTGTCCTCGTATTCCTACTCTTTCTCCCCTCTGCCCCCCACCCCCCTCAAAAAGAAGCAGGGCTGCCTGATCTGTGTTGGGGGGGGAGGTTTCCCCTCTTTTCAGCCTGCTTCACTCTAGGAATGAGACAGTGACGGTTACACCAAAAGCCTAGTGACCTCAGGGACCCCTTCCCAGTAACGCTGGTTAATGAAATGAAAACTGAAATGTTGATGCCATGTGCGAGAGACGTTTCAGTTGCCTCTCAGGGTGTGGCTGGGGCTGGAGTTAGACTGGCAGGGGCAGGAGCAGCGGGATGGAGGAACAGGAGCAGAGCAAGTCCTGCAAAGCTGGCAAGCGGAGGACAGGTGAAAGCTGACGTGCACGCTTCAAAAGCCAGACCTTAAAGGGAACAAGCAGTTCATACGGGAGCTAGTCTGACCTCCTGAGATCAGAAGTGGACTGTGGAGTAGGGCGAGGGAAGCCAGAGCAGGCAGATCTTAAGAGGACTGTCAAGTGAACCTAACGAGCCAGTGCCATCTAGGTTTAGTATTGTGCATGGTTCTTGTTTTGCTGTGCAATGGACGTGAGCATTCTATGTACTAGGTGGTACGTCCAGTTTGTAGAAGTAAGCATAGAAGCCCACGCGGGTTGTTACTTCTGCTGGGACTGATGGTACGGTCCCTTCAGAAAGGCCGAAGATTCATCATTTCCCTTTCTGGGATTATGTGTTAAAATTATCTTTTTTTTTAAAAAAAAAAAGCTTCTATTACTGGACCTGAGTTTGACAATGCCATTACATAAACTTACAGGTCTGGGCTTTGCCATCTATGGATATAACTTTAGCAGCCATATTCTACTGCAGGATGTAATTTTAATACATGCTATGTTTGTGTAAGCTTGGCTCTGAAGGAGCAATGAGGAGCATACCCCTCCCTCAGCCATCAGAAGTCGCTCTGAATGCTTCAGGACTGGCAGAATCAGTCAAAGCAAGTATTTAAACAAGTATTAAATCCTTCTTCAAATAAGAGGTATGGGAGGCAAGAAAAAAACCACAGGGTTCATCCTAGGTCACTTAAATCAACTTGAAATGCTTGCTTCAGAAAGACTTAGCACAGCGGCCTCGGGAACAGTTTTACTCAGAGCGGCTGTAGGCAGCGTAAGAGGTTAATGCAGGGAAGCGCCAGGGCTGCCCAGCGGCCCAAAGCGACCCGGTCTGTGTCAGCCATCTGCAAAGGATGCACAGGGTAAGGACGAGCCCCTGCTAGGCCTGGGTCCTACGGCAGGCAGGTGACGCACGCTCCACAGACAGATGCACACAGGCTCCTTCCTCAGCCGTTCTATATAAACAGGTACCATTTCTGATTTTATTTCATCATAACATACAGGTAATGCTCATGACACAACAAGATGAGAAACTCACATCTCTCTGAACCATTTGAACAGCTTGCCATACACCAAAGAACATTATATTCATACTGAACATATACACATCCCCCCCTCCCCCCCTCGCATCCTCCACTTTTCTTTCCAGACTTCTAAAAACCATTTCCAGCATTGCTCAGGTACAGGCCGCCGGCTCAGACAGGAGGCAGGGCACCATCCTGCGCAGGATACGGGGTTACGGCTTCCTCCCACAGGAACCCGTCCCCCAAAAACACTGAGCCTACAGCTTTGATTCATTCAGTGACTGTAGCGTACTGGAAATCACAAGGAGACAGAAGACCTGATTTCAGTTCCTCAGAAGGCGATTAACCTACCGAAACCCTAAACGTAGGTATTTGTATGCATAGAGAGAAGGGGCGAACACACCTGTGAAGGAGCACAAAAGACAGGAAGATGCTGTTTCTGCCTCTAGGGCCTGATTTGTGTTAACCCCCATTAACTGATTTAGATCAAAGGCACTGAAATCTGGCTCCGAGGAGCACTGCTAAACCGTTTACATATGCACATACACATGCAGAGGGTGTATATATGCTGAAAATCGTTGTGATGTAATCACTTTCACCTCATATGTAAACAGAGACAAGTAGCAGTACCTTTAATGAACAGCCAAGACCTGATGTGCTTTCCAGCGCGGTGTCCACCTCTGCCTTGCCCAGCCTACCCCTTCTTCCAGCGTTTTGTACACAGGGCACAAACACAGCCTCAGGGTTCAGGTACTCCTGGTGCTGCCTCCCTTGCACGCTCTCTGTGCCTTTTGCACTTTCTTTTTTTTTAGGATCAAGTGAATCAATGCCGTTGCTGTAGCTTTCAGTGCTATTTTTGACAGTCTGCTGTAGGAAATTAAAGTCACATCCTAGCCACAAAACAAAACAATGACAAAATCTTTTCCACTTTTCAGTATAGTAAAACCTGAGATTTGAGTCACAAACTAGCTAAACTTACAGTAAAAAACAAAACAAAACAACCCCCCCCAAAAAAAACAACCACCCAAGCTGCTGCCTTGAATTAGGGCTTCAGTTTGCTGCTGACAAATCTTTCTTTAAAGCTGTTGGCCAGGGGTAAGTATTTGTTACATGTGAATTACAATTTTCAGCTGCCTGCACTGAAAGGGGACAAAACACTCTAGCCACCCCCCCCATAAGCACTCTGAGGGACTGGGCCGGGGGGGGCGGGAAGACGGAGATCAGGTGCGCAGCTCCCATCGGAGCAGGAAGGGTGAAGCTTTACACGGCGCCTCTGGCACCACCCCTTGCTGATCTTAAACCTCTCAGCAATGTGTGCACGCAAAATGACTTGCGCGGCGGCAGCCACGGTACCGCAAGAATGGCGAGCTGGAGGGGAAGCAGCTGGGTCGCTGTCAAAAACAACACAAGAAGGGCTGTGCCTGATCTCCCATGAAACACCCCGCTGGCGGCAGGGAAGCTGACACCTCCTTGAGCTGGCGTGGTGAGGACGAGGACGCAGCACCGGCCAGCAGCAGCACAGCTGGAACCACGCATCGGCACGCTAGGAAACCAAGGCCCTGTGCTGGGACAGAGGACAACAGCCAGGACCAAGGTCTTCTGGAGCTGCAAGTGTGGGAGGTGAGCAGGCTTCCCTTAAAGCTGGCTCTTCTCAAAGCCCCTTTCTGTCACACCACACTGTGAGATGGGACGCTGGCGCTCCCCTTCTGTTTTCCTTGGACAGCCAGACAGACTGCAAGTCAGCAAGCCTCATCAGAAGCTTCTGTCTCCAAAACCCCCACGGTTTGAGTAAGGCCGCTGGGATGGAAACCCCCCCCCCCAGCCTGTAAATTTTAACCCTACCCCGCCAGTGACTGGAACCATATATGAAGAACAGTTCCTTAACGGTACTGCTCAGTTAAGGACAAAAGCCCGGTTTTAGCTTTAAAAAAACCACCACCAACAAAAAAGCCTTCAAGAGCCATCCATTGAATTGTCAATTGGCAACACGAGAATGTTGCGGTATTGTACCAGCCACTTTTCGTCCACATAACCCTAAGCATTAACCACTTCGTTCTAGCTTAGAAGCCAAAGCAGCTACCCCTCTCCCAGAAGCCAGCTTAATATAAAAAAAACAACAACAAAAAAAAAAAATACAAACACTGCTTATTTTATGTTTCAAAAGACTGGGGGAAACAGTCATAAGAATGGTTCATTCGTCTTTTTTAAGAATTGTTGCTGAGCCAACTGAAACACTTGTGCGTAGACAGCTTTAAAAAAAACCATAAAATCCAATGTGGCTAGTCGTTACTTGTTCACATTGCTTATGAACTGACTACCAGCATCTGGCAGCCATAAAGCCCTAGTTTATTTTTTATATTTTTGAGGTACTGGGTTTTTATTTTTCTCTGAAGCAGCTCTCTAGTGAATCACCTAAAGCCTATCCATTAGAACAATAGTTAACACCAGTATTTACATTTGCCTGAACTGTGTGTTCAGACCAGCCTTGCTGTAACCAGTCCCTACGTCCTTTGGAATCGCTCCTGGTCTCCTTTCTTACAGGAAAAAGGTTTCCCTCCAGAGGTTGGCTCAGTGTCAGGGCTAAGGTGCACTGGTGAAGACGTGGGGCATGAGGAGGGGAGAACAGAACTATAGCTTTGCTGGGCAGGAACACGTGTTTCAGTGGAAGCAGAGAAAGGGTTTGATACCAAGAGAGCCTCCTTTTTAAAACTCACCGAAAGGATGTGCAATCCATTGTGTACAATTGCTTCCTCTGTCAGGGAAGGATCTTGGAACTGTCCTGCCCTGTTCCAGGAGAGGAGAGGAGCAAAGCCCAGGGGCACGCTCAGGCTCCTTGGGCAGATGCTTGCTCGCCAGTTCTTTGCCATTATTCTGTTCAGATTTACAGGGACCTCTCAAAGGCTGGGGGAGCGGCCTGGAGGGGGAAGCAGCTCAGACACAGTCACACAAGCCTGCTGCCCCTCAAGACACCTCAATGATTTCCATGCTGCCTGAAAAGCTCGACTGACTGCCTACTTTCCCCAGTTCTTCTCTGGATCTGGTGTCTGACATGATGCTCTCCCCAAACTCCATCTGGCAGCTCCTCCGCTTAAACTGCTTTTCAAAAGAGCTTTCCTCGTGCCAGCTGCGCCGGGAGTCACCTCGATCGCCCTGCTTCGGCCTCCTGCGCACAGCGCAGGCCTGGTCGCAGCCCGTGGGCAGCTGACTGCAGCTGTAGGCAGAGTAAGCAGCGCTGTTCCCATAGATGGCGGAGGCAGAGTAGAAATGCGAGGACTCGGTTGCAAAATACCAGCTGTTGGTAAGGGACGTAGCCGATGTCTGAGGAGCCAAGATGTCCGAGTGCCAGCCTTTGAGGCCCAGCCCAGCAGCAGACTTCGCCAAATGCTGCTGGCTGGTGGAGAGACCGAACAAGAAGTTCGTTCGGTAGTTGTCTTCCACGCTCCCGCTCCGGTGGAGGGGGTACAGGAGCGACCGCTGCGTGGTGGCACTGCTGCTGGCTCTCCCCAGGTGTTGCCGTTTGCTCTGGCTCTCCAGCTGCCAGGCGCTCTGGGGCTTCCTGGGGGGGTTTGCTTCCTCTTTGTCAGGGCTGGTTTCTGGGGTCTGCTCCGAGACCTCCTGGACAGGGGAGAACTGACACAACTTGCTGCTGCCCTCTAAAGCAGTCGCGTGTTTGTAGTATTCCAGGGTGTCTTCGGAGGAGGCAAAGCCCTGAACCGACGCGGTCATGCAGTTGCTACTTGCCGAGTAGGACACAGATTTGATATCCAAAGAAAAGGAGCGCTTCAGCCGGTTGCTGTCCTCCACCTTATCCAGGGAGACGTGCAGTCCGTTTATGCCCTGCACCAGTGGGCTATCTTCCAGGGGGGACAAGTGCCCTCGTGGTGCGCTGCTGCAGTCCGTCGGCTTCTGTTCCACCATCTCGGAGGTAGTGGTGATGCAGAGCTGGTTAGCGGAGAGGCTGCTCTGCCCACCTTCTGCAACCAGCACGTGCTCGCTGCTTTTCTCCAGGTGCAGAAGTTTCAGCTTACTGATATGTCCAGGCTGACCGCTCTGGTTCTTGATCTTTTTCTCAAAGTCCAAAAGCTGGCCCAGAAAGTTGAAGTTGGGAGAAATGGTTGGCCTTTTTTCTTTCACGAATCTGGAAAGAGGGGACAAACAGAACGAGAATTAATTTAAGAACCTGCTGCTCAGCCCTGAGATAACCCTAGAGGGATTGCTGCGAATGCTAACAGCCTGGTCTTAACTTATCAGGATGCCTGGACTGAGGTTGGGCCAAACACAGGGAACATGGGTGGGAGGAAAAAAAAAAAAAGGCAGCTTTTAAGCAAGATAGTGCTGCACACTATCAGTTTTCTCTGTAGCTTAAAGGTGGCTGAACAAGGGAAAAGAAAGCATTCTTTTTACCTCTTTATGATGTCCACAGCAAGGTCGGAGGGAATAATTCTCCTTTTTATTTTACTTCACCAGTGGGATCTCTGCTACCTGGGTTTCTGACCAGAGTTAAGAGCTCCTCAAGTTTGGCATGAAGAGCACCAGAGCTCTCGCCAAGAGACCCCAGCCTCCCCTGTGCCGCAGGGAGCAGACCACCTTCCCCACCATTCAACGGGGCAAATCCTCACATCCCTTTCGCCTCTCTCGCTGTCGTCACTGCAGCGAGCGCTTCCCCCCCCCGCTTATCTTTGTCAGGCGAGCCAAAGGGCTCTGATACACACTGACCTTAGGCAGCAAGTGACAGCGATTTCTACCGTACGCTGGTACTGACCACTGATACGATCATCAAAAAGAAAAGCAGAAAGAAGCAAATGCAGCATTAAAAAAAAAAACCAAACCCAAAACATTCTCTCGAGCTCTGTAGATGTTCAGCAGCAAAGGGCAACAGCATTACCAAATCACTGGAAAAGTTAACCTGTTTTCGAGCCTGGTGGGAAGCAGCCTGACTTGCGTACATGTGCCAATCTAAGCATGCACTTACATACTCGGTTGAACACACGGACAAGGTGCGATGCATACTTAAAATGTTTTCCTGAACCAGGACTCCACATGTAACAGATGATAGGACGAGGGGGAATGGTTTGAAGCTGCGCCAGGGCAGGTTTAGGTTAGATATTAGGAAAAACTTCTTCACTGAAAGGGTTGTCAGGCTCTGGAATGGGCTGCCCAGGGAGGTGGTAGAGTCCCCATCCTTGGAGGTATTTAAAAGAAGGATAGATGAAGTGCTTAGGGATATGGTTTAGTGGTGGGATGGCAGGGTTAGGTTAACGGTTGGACTCGATGATCTTAAAGGTCTTTTCCAACCAAAGCGATTCTATGATTCTATTCTATTCTATGTATGAAAGACTTAAGCATTAGCGGTCGTATCACATACTTCAAAGTTAAATACAAAAGCAGTACCTCCTACCTGTCTGATTTGCCATATAGCTAAATAAGTACTCTTTGGTTTTTACAGGCTGTAAACCAGAATGCTGCCCGCAAATACTTCCTCCTCTGGTTGTTTTTTTTTTTGTTTTTTTTTTTAAAAAGCATTCCTGGAACTATGAAGGTACCAGATGACAAGGGAATTAACAAGGGAAGAAACCTTGAAGAGCTAAATCTAGTACAAACACACATATATCACTGGGAAAGTTAATTATTATTAAAAGCAAGAAAATATCTCTGGGGACATGTATAGAAGATAACCGTGCAGTCATTAAAAACAGCATGAAAAAAATTCGAAGGTGTGCTTGTGCACGTATGTATACACTAGCACAAATGCAAGCATGAAAAATACCAAAAAAATAAAAAAAAAAGGGGGCAAGTTAAGTTGCCATACAACAAACACTAGTAGGAATAGTCAAGCTGATGTGACCACCTGGAAGATCAGACTGTGCAAAGTGATAGTGGAAACTTCCACCACAAAGTACCGACACTGGCAAAAGGAAAGAACTAGTAGGTCACCTCAGAAGAGGTTCTTTAGGTGGGTCTCCTAGCACTGAATTTGGGGGCTTTCATTCCAGTGTAAGCAATTTGCTCACAGGAATTCATACAGTCTTCACTGGTCCTCTTCCAGTCAAAGCTGAAGTGGTACTTCGTAGTGGGTTTGTTATTTAAAACAAGATCCTTCTGGTCAACACTGCAATTTCTGGCCTCTCCCTTCCACTTTCTCCTCATCTCACCCCAAAATACTGGACTGTCCTAAACTTAAAACTAGCATTTTAAAAAAAGAAAAGGGTTCAAGAAAGTCTGCTGCATCCCCCCAACAAGTTTTAAGGCTTTGCAAACTTCTTAATTTCAAAATGCACATTCTTTTTTCCAATTAGAAGATGTGCATAACATTTAGTTTTGATGTTAATTTCCCTTGAATTGCCCATTACACAGAAGAAAATATTAAAAACGTTCATTTCTTCAGATCTTTCGCTTCAAGTAACAGTTGTCACTTTTTTTTTTTTTGGTAATAGTGTCAGACATTTTATCTAATGACTTTCATTAACTCAGAAAAAAGTACTGTTCTTTCAAGCTTTGCGAACAAGACATCCCAAACCAATGAGTGAAATGTGCTGCAGACTGTTCTCACTAACTCGTATCAAAGGAAATACAGCAAAGTATAAACTGTGTTTCACAGTAGTTGTTCAGTATTAACAATGCAAAGAAAAAAAAAAGGCCTAGGATGATTAATCCTTCACACTTGATTGACACTTGTGGTTAAGAAGCAAAATGGAATTTGATGCAGCGACTTCACAGAGGAATTTAGAAGCAGCACTGTAGAAGTCCCCTGAAGCACGTGCGTTTTAGAAGCGTTTAGTACTCCACAGCTTAACCTCCAGACCACTACAGCCTGAGACCAGACAAGTTTTTTTAATGAATCGAGCTCATACCTCGCACAGTATCCACCCACATCCACCAATTCATCCATATTACCTGTACAACTGTGAGCTTTCACCTATGCCTCTTAACAAAACCTGTTTCACCACGCATTGAAATTACGGCATAACACCAAAGCAGGTTCTAGTAAGAAACCGTGGAGAACGTCTAAAGGCAACGGGAGATGGCTGTATTTCAGGTGCTTCTTGCATGCCCTTTTCTTCACCACATACATCATCGCATTCATAAGCTTAAAAGAAGATGCCCCGTGGAAAGCACGCTCCACAAAGGAGTATTAAATGTTTGTCTGTCTGTCCTCAGTGGTATTTTAGACAGTAGTAGCAAACACAGTAGCGATTCGGAAGGTGCTCCTCTCCCCCTGCTCCAGCGCAATTGTTCAGATTGCTTCTGCACCACGCACGTTACAGCGATGCGTCAGCTGGGCCAACCAGCGTACAAAGCCCCTCGAAAAGAAAACCATCGTTTTCTGTACAACACAACAAAGCAGGTTGTTGAATGAAATAGAGAAGTCATGGCAAACTGCAACCACGCCACCTGGAATCTAGTAAAGTGTTCACGATCCAAGCGCAGAAACATGGGATTTGAAAGGTTAAAAAAGGGAGGGGGTGGGAGGGTGGTCCCACAAAAAATCCCTGATGCCACAAAGCGCCAACACTTCAAAATACTTTCCGGTTGAGTTTAATAGCAACAAAGAAGCTTTCTTAATTCCTAGACATTTCACCTGCAGGCAGTTCTTTGAGAGCATTACCAAATACCAAACTGAAGTCAACAGCTCCAGCCTAGCATTTGTTACAAGCGTGATTATAAATATCCTCAGTGCTTTCTTTAACCCCATCCATTCCATTCTCTCTTTGACTTACAAGAGGTTGTTACATGCACGCTATAGCCACGTGTGTATATGTACGTGCCTACGCACACATTTAATAGGCAGTTTAAATTCCATGTATTTGCTTATTCGGAGTAAAGACCAACATCAGCATTTTGCAGGTGGGGAATTAATATTAGGTGTGTGATGTCTACACAACACCACTAATTTGTTTACGGAGGAAGCCTACATTTAAAACAGGAGCGTGCAGAGTGAACTACTGGATAAAATAACATCTGTGCTTCTACCCTTGGTGACATAACCTTTATTCTGCATCTTAAAAGCAAGCCAACAGGCCCAGGAATTCACACAAAGGGAAATTTTCTCCTTACCTGTAAGCTTCGTCTAAGGACATATCCATTCTCTTCATGATATATGCAATCGCGATTGTGGCAGAGCGAGATATTCCAGCTAAACAGTGCACTAACACTCGTCCATTTGATGCTTTTGCTTTTTCTGCATAGCAAAGAAATTGGCAAGTGTCACACTCAGCAGCATTATACTATGATGAAAAGTTTGCAGAGAAAGCAATGGTATTTAAAATTGTTCAAAACTCCCAACCTAACTGCTAATTGCAAATTTCACGGAAACTTTAAACAAAAATCACTTATTTTCTCTAGCACTGTATAGCATTCAGTATAGAAAAAGCATGTGACTACACACAGGAAACACACTGCAGTTACAGCATACCACATTTTAATGGGCACATAAACAACCCTATTTAGATGTCTGGGAAAGGTGATTGTTTCTAATTTTATATGCCAGTAAAAAAGCAAGCATTCATGATGGAACAATCTGGCCAGTTCAAATTTGGCTAGCTCACTTCTCAAAGCTAAAGACAGGATCTGTATGTCCAATTTTCTCATTCGCTCTCTGCCGGCATATATCAGGCATCTACTAGGTTGCCAGAAAGCAGAGTTGTGCTCTTAAAAAGTTTCTTTGTTCCATAAGCGCTGGAACACTCGGAGGCAGAATCTCCCTATGTTATTTTGCTTCTGTGCTTCTAAAGGGATGGTGATCGTGTATGTAGATCCTTAGGGTATTTTCATACCACCCAGCAAGCATTCAGGTCTTCTCCAGCCAAAACAGCAAGGCAGACACACAAAGGAATCCAGAAACTGTTCTAGAGAGAGAATTTAAATTTTGTTCTCACCTATAAAATCGACTGATTTATCCAACCAAGGCAAAATTTTCTCACAAAAGCTGTCATTCACAGGCACTCTCAGGAAATGGGATTCCGGAATAAAATCAGGCTTTGGACAAGTATTGCTGGCGTTTAGTACGTAGCCAATATCATTCTGCTGCATCAGCTCCTAAGAAAGAGAAAAAGATTGAGCCTAGAGAAGTCAAATGGTACCTTTGGCACATTACAAAGAAACTATGAACCCAAAGCACATCATAAAGCTAAAACCCAAACTGGAATTCATGCTGGAATTGTTCCAGCTGTATTAGGCACATTACAAGTATTGCTGGCGTTTAGTACGTAGCCAATATCATTCTGCTGCATCAGCTCCTAAGAAAGAGAAAAAGATTGAGCCTAGAGAAGTCAAATGGTACCTTTGGCACATTACAAAGAAACTATGAACCCAAAGCACATCATAAAGCTAAAACCCAAACTGGAATTCATGCTGGAATTGTTCCAGCTGTATTAGGCACATTTGGGAGGGGGGAAAAAAAAAAAAAAAAAAAAAAAACACCCCTCTTTTTTTTTTTTACAAATTTTTATTACAGCAACCCCAAGGGGGGTTCCGCTTTTTTTTTTTTTTCCATTTTTTTTGGGAGAAAGAAAAAAAAAAAAAAAAAAAAAAAAAAAAAAAAAAAGACCTCAGCTTTTAATTTTTCCAACAACTTTTAATGAGACATCCAGTGTGTCCAAATAACGTATGGACTGCAAAGCCCATGCAAACAAAGTTAACAAAGACCAGAAATAATGGTAGAATACCGTCTGCTACTATGAAGCACCACTTCCATGAGAATGAATTTTTTGCTGCGTTGGTTTAAATTCTCACCATGCAAAGTGCCAACGTAACCAAGCACTTCCCACATGTAGTTTGCTGACCCGAATACATGTTTTCTGAATCACATATCTAAGAGTGAGGTTGCCCCATCAGATATTGGTGAGAACTATGAAATGAAACCGATGCCTCCTGCAGTCACCTCACTGAAGTGTCTGGGACTCCCTTGTTTCTAAGGCAACGTGCAAAACTCACTCAAAACCTTGAGAGAAAGAGCTGAGTAAAAGATGAAGACCTTGAATGAGACCATTTTCACACAGCACGAACTGCAGTTTTATAGGAGTTCCACTTTGTGGGTGACAATTTAGTTGCTCGTATTTCAGTTTTCAGTCCTCTTGCATCTCAGAGATTATCACAGCAACAAGCAAAGAGATTCAAAGTATGAGACAGTCCACCGGGTTTTTTAAATAAGTCAATATTCATGATGGCAAATAAGAAGAGAGATACCTCTTTTTCTGCACCTTGCCATACTCTTCCTATTTAGAGTTGTGCAAAGGTGAAACGAGTACTAGAAAACTGGAGATGGCTCTAGCAAAACCATCCAGTCTCCTGCACGCAAGCGTCTTCACACAGAAAAGCAATTAAGCAGGTTGGAGTAACACTGATCAAATGACTTTTCTGCTTCAGTGATGATCTGGCAGTAAGTGACACGCAATACTATGCTTGGACAGTAGCTACACTGAATACAAACACCGGGGATTTTGGCCAGATTTCTGTGGAAACTAATGTCTGAAACTAAGCTGAAAGAGAAAAAAAGCCAAAAAAAATATCTGATTCTAATCCTGGTGCTTTTATAGCAATTATATGTAAAAAAAAAAAAGAAAAGCTATGTCAATCCATGGGAGCAGTGGCAAGAAAGAATTCTTACACTGCAGATTTCAGCTGGAGGACTACCAGCACGAAAACATCGCCATGAAGCCAAATGGTCGTGTCTTCCCCATATGTGTTTTTTCTGCAAGCGTAAAGACCTTTTGGTGAAGAGAAACAGGGATATGGCTCTTTAGCTGAAGAGCCAGAACTCTATCTTGTTCAAATCACAGCAGTTTAAATAACATGTGGTATTGCATAAGTACAGGTACACCACCTGTATGTCACACAGTGTGCGTGCAGAAGGGATGAGTGCACACGTGCACACACGCGCGCGCATGCACAAATGACATGTTCACTGAGAACTGCAGGGGAGAAGGGAATCAACCTCCGTCATTTACAGAGGGAGGCGTATACAACTGCTGCTGGCTGCATTTTAAACAGGAGTTTACATGAATCTCTGCTAGCGAGCTGAATTTCGTTTTTCCTGGAGCAAAATGAGCAGCTCCTCCAAACTTTCATCCAAAGTCACTTGCATCAGCATATTCAGAGGTGCCTGAAGGTGTGGGCACCTTAAACTGATGAATATAAAATATATCATAAACATACCCATCCAAGGGGAACAGGAGATGACCAATTACTCACAAAGCAAATAATCAGAAATATAATTTGCAGCAATGGTCAAAAAAAAAGGGGAGGCGGGGGGTGCACAGATGTGTCCAAGTAAGTTCTCAGCCTTACTGCTTCTTACCCTGCTCGTTTCCTCGGTCACCCTCCCAGTAAAGCTCAGCTTCTCATCAATGACAACGAATCCCAATGTGTCACTGATTTCCCCCTCTCCCTTCCTTCACCTCTCCCCAACTCAACCAGCAAGCTCCCTTCAGCCCTGCAGGCCTTTCACAGCCGACTCCATCGCACCTTCCTGTACTATATTTAGTGCTCACACACCGCTAGACCTAAAAGTTTAAAAGCAGGAGGTCTGTAAAGAAGTAGGGGAATATCTGGAATTGTCCAGAGGGGGAAGGCATTAGGAAAGGGGTTCCTGGCACAGTGGACTAGCTACGGCTAGACCTGCGGCATCTTATGCGTGCAAGGGGGACCCTCGGTCCCCAGCACCTCTGCCTCGCCGTCCTGGGCTACGCAGCTCTCTCCTTCTAGGATCCCAAGCTCTTCAGCAACGCCTTCTGTAAGTACCCACTTCAGATCACTACGGTGAAATACTGTCCCCAAACCAGCTCACCTCCTGCTGCCGCTGCGTGGAGGTGAGCGAGGAACAACTGGAAGAGTTTAGGGTCATGAACATTATCACGTATAAAGGGGGGAGGCGATGAAGGTATCACTAGCAAACGGACTGCCAGGATGCATCTTTGTTCAGAAGACAGCTAAGGGGAGGCTGATGAATTTAGAAGAACAGAAAACCCTACTGCTTCTTTTAAAGCATAAGCGCTGGTGGGCCGCACAGTCCAATCATCGCGATTCCGTGTTATGCAAGGTTTTTGACGTGGAATTGATTATTCAAATGGGAATGAGAAGGCTGCAGACGCCAAGTCTGAAACCTCCGAGCCAAAAAAACACCCAAAAATGTGTTAGTGCTTGTCTTTTGAGACTAAGGCTAAGGAAAGAAGTTATGCTTCCTTCTGTTGTAAAGTATCAATCATTCCCTGTGCAACGCACTCCGATGTAATAACCATAACAGTGCCTTCATTGTAAGGCACCCAAGAGGAAGACGTGAATTAGGATGGGAGGAAGATCCAGAAATCCTAATACTAACAACTTTGTGAAAAGAAGGTAAATGCTCTTTTGTCAGTTTATTTACATTTTATGACTTGTTTAATCCGAAAATTAATGGCACCCTAAAATGTTATTTTGTTCCAGGAAATAAAATCCAGGTCTGGAAGAAAAGAAAGAGAATAGTTATGTAAGTAGCAAAGCAGAAAGTTTTACAGTTTAAATGCTGGTACAAAACATGAGAGGTAAGTAGGAGGCTCGTTCGGGCCCTTAACCACAACACAGATTTTTTTTTCTGTTCTACTGACTTTTGGAAAGAACCCTGTCACTCCTGTCCTGTACAGGTTAGAATTTAGTTTGTCTGTCTTTCACAAAGATAAACAAAGATCTCCTGTCAAAATACGTATCCTCCTGGCGATGCCACCAATATTTCACACAGAGACCCAAAAAGCAAAATTAACTTTTCTGTTAGCCAGAGTAAAATAAAGCTCTTAATCATGAAAAGAATCCGTATTTTGTAAATATGTGCATTTAGGTAAAGCAGTAGCACTGATCGCCAAATTACTAAAGAACACAAGGAAATGTCAGGTCAGAACTTTAATGAGATTTATAGTATTGCAACCCTGCAAAAAAAATATTATGAACATTTTCAGAATTCAGCATTTAGAAAGAAATCTGTAAAGCAAACTATAAAGGATCTCCTAAGACTTTTCTCGAGTAATCATTAATTTTGCTAAAGGACACCAACCAAGCTTTTGTCTGCTTGTTGTGGATCTTCCATAAATAAAGCATTATCAGCAGAGGTATTAATGGCAAATAGTGGTTCGTATTCTTAAAAGGTCACAAATACAGACTGTCCCGCAACAAAACAAGCATTTCCCTACCCATGAGCTCAGAGATAAGCTTATCAAGATCCTGAAAAGATATGCTCATCTTGATAAAATGTGCTGAAAATTCCCATCTTTACATCGTCAGGTTGAACAGTAGTGCAGGCTAAGAGTTCTTTTTGCAGGTACTGTTGAGATTTAAATTTTAGAGAAATCAGTGTGTCTGGTCAATGGAAGGAACTGGGGGAACTCACAGATAGCATTTGAAGGCAAAAATAAGGCCAATGTATACAACTACATCTTAATAGTATTGGAATTCTTACTCAAATTTTTCAGAAAATTATTTTTAAAAAGTCTGGACTTGAATAAAAAAAAACTATTCTAATTTTAACAGAAGGCTGACTTCTTGTCCCCAGTACCCAACAAACCAGCAAGGCCATTAAACTAGAGCTTGCAAACATAACCACTTACCAGCTCCTAGACTGTTCTAAAGGAGACGGAACTTGGCTACTTATCCCTGGCTTTTGTCTCCCACCCTCCCCTTTTTAACGTTCTTGCCTTCCCAGCCTTCTTACCACACACTGGTATTTCTGGGCACCCACTGTAGTAAGAGACGTCCCCCTTGCTCTCCCCTAATGCCCCTGGGTAGCATCCAGGCTTCCCCAGAAGCAAAGCGAGCAGCAGAGATCTTCCGAACAGGTGTCTAGCGGCTTCTTTACCAACATTAAATATGGAAGCCATTTCAGATTTTGCACAGGCAGTCACCGAAACTGAAGAGGTAAGATAAGCTACCAAGACACTAAGGTCTACTTCAGCGCAGCAAACAAGTGACATGCTCAGAATAAAGCCTTGCCTGCTATTTCTTCAAAGTAAGAGGAAAAAGGCATAAGCAACAAGCACATCTGAAATCATAAGATGTGTATTTGTCCTAAAATGGGTAAGAAACCTAAGATCGGTCATCTAAGGGAGAACTTCCGCAAGATTGACTGTCAAGGATAACACCAGCCGATAAGAACTTACTGAACTTTCTGTGGATTGTGTGCTGTCTCTTTTGTGGTTCTCCATAAAAAATGGGAAACACGACAATCCTTGATCATAACTCCCCAGAATACGTGAGGCAGTACAAATCTGACAAACTCCTGGGAGTCCTACATTCATTCTAAAGTATCTGCAGCTGCAGTGCTTCCTGAGGTCTGATGGACACATGCTGAAATAATACCAAGATTGCAGATTAATAGGCAAGAGAGCCACCACCAGGTCTAAACTCTTCCTGTTGTGCTGGGTTGACCCTGGCTGGACGCCCGGTGCCCGCCAAGCTGCTCCATCACATCCCCTCCTCAGCTGGACATGGGGAGAAAAATAGGACAAAAGGCTCATGGGTTGAGATAAGGATGGGGAGATCACTGGCCGATTACCATCACAGCCAAACCAGGCTCAACTCAGGAAATTAATTTATTACCAATCAAATCAAAACAGGGTAATAAGAAATAAAACCAAGTCTTAAAACACCTTCCCCCCACCCCTCCCTTCTTCCTGGGCTCAACTTTACTCCCCATTTTCGCTACCTCCTCCCCTCAAGCGGCCTAAGGGGAAGGGGAACAGGGGCTGGAGTCAGTTCATCACATGTTGTCTCTGCTGCTCCTTCCTCCTCAGGGGCAGGACTCCTCACACTCCTCCCCTGCTCCAGCCTGGGGTCCCTCCCACAGCAGACAGTCCTCCATGGACTGCTCCAGCATGGGTCCTTCCAGGGCTTCAGTTCTTCAGGAACTGCTCCAGTGTGGGTCCCTCCCTCCCACGGGGTGCAGTCCCTCAGGCACAGATGACTCCAGCGTGGGTCCCCCCTGGGGTCACCAGCCCGGCCAGCAAACCTGCCCCAGCCTGGGCTCCTCTCCCCACGGGGTCACAGGCCCTGCCAGGCGCCTGCTCCAGCGCGGGCTTCCCACGGGGTCACAGCCTCCTTCGGGCACCCCCCTGCTCCGGCGTGGGGTCCTCCCTGGGCTGCAGGTGGGGATCCTCCCCTCTGTTGCTGCTGTTGAGCAGCAAGTTTTCTTCCCCCCATCTTAAATACGCTATCCCAGAGGTTCTACCACCACTGCTGATGGGCTTGGCCTTGGCCAGCGATGGGTCCATCTTGGAGCCGGCTGGCATTGGCTCTGTCAGACATGGGGGAAGCTTCCAGCAGCTTCCCACAGAAGCCACCCCTGTAGCCCCCCCCGCTACCAAAACCTTGCCACACAAACCCAGTACACCTATAAACAGCTCTGCCACACTCAGGGCTCACCAGCCGAAGTTGTGGTTTTAGCCTCCTCCAGCCCTATAATGAAATTCCTGACCACTGCTACCACTTGGATTCCTTCCCCAGTGAGGCACACACACTGTGCCTGTGCCCAACACCCATTCATAGGGCCCAATTTACTGCCAAGGAAAGGGAACAACGTCTTTCATCCCTCTGGGATTATTCGCTACATCAGAGCCACAGCACTGGAGTTCCGGTCACATCCCAAATGAAGCGGCACATCCCTGGCCCTGGAGGAGAACGAGGAGAACCAGTTGCCCCCTCACTCCCACCGTGACCTAGGACAACACTTGCTATTCACACATTGAAACAAACAGCATAAAAGCATCTTTCTAATACTCTACCATTTAAAGCAAGGAATATATATATATTTTTAATTACTTAGTTCCTGCTGTCTTTGGTCTGGGGACCACAAATTTACTTTTGTAGTAGGAAAAGTAATAAGCTGCTTTGATGTCCGACATCAGCAAATAAAGTTTGAATTGCTGACTTGCTACCTGGCAGTAAAGACAGAAGATTTTAAAGGACAAAGTAAATACAATGACTGCTGACTATCCTCCATACAAAAGATTTTTTTGTGTGCTCTATTAAAGCACAATTACCTTCTACATGATTGCTTGTGTGTCAAAGATCCCCTTAAAAGAATTGTGAAAAATAAAAAAATAGCCTATTAATGGCCAGACTGGGATGGACTGAAAGTAGAAGAAAGCAGTGAAAACTATGATACGGCCAAAGTATATGAATTTGATCGAGTTACGGGACATTATTAGGATAGTTCCTGTCTTAAGCTTTATATGTGAATAAAAAACATACACTTAAGCCTTGCATATAATTAAGGCAATATGTTAGGGTGAAACACTCCTCCTCTCTCCCCCATCGATGTATTTAATGCCAGCTTCTGAAGGCTGTTGAGAGGTTCAACTAATAAATAGGACTGTCAGATAACATGGGAAGCAAGAGGGCAAATGCAGCAGAAGTAATAAAAATCCCCTTGTGAAAGGAGCCAGGATGTAGACTGCAAGCAATACGAGTTGGTCTCCTCATGGAGGCAAACATCTGTGGGTATACACAGGAATACAGACCTGCAGCAATTTGAGACAAACTCTTTTAGACATCTTGATAGTCCAGCACCCTGCAAGTGCTATGTCTGATGACTTTACCGACTATTTTAAATATACTAAAATGTCCTGGGCTATTCTTTGGGAACAGAAATTATTAAATGCACATATATTTAGAAACAGTAAAAGTTTTTTTAGTGCAGTGAAGTGTTATTTTTTTCAGCACTTGAAGGAAATACTAAAGAACGGACAATCTTCCTTTATCTTACTGCAACCATTAATACATTAACATCCAAAACTTGTCAAAACAAACCAGTCAGAGCTATAAACAGGACACTACCTCACCTGCTATAACGGCAGATTTGATAGTTTGCTGTTGGTTGACAGGTTACTGAGGAAGGTACCGTATCATCTTCTCCGAGACGAAGGAGAAATGAAACCAAGTTTCATATTACATCACATGTGGATTAATTATATGGTCTGTATATCATTAGTTCTCACATAGCTTTCCATGGCTTATGCACAGACTGCTGTTATCGAAATCTATTTTAGATGTTTCATAGCTGTAATGATGCAGTATGATAGAAGCATGGACAAAGACACATGGAGATTATAGACTTATCCATGTAAAAACGCGACATCCAGAACGCTCACCTTGTTGAGGACATCCCGCTGACACCCAAGGTAGAGATGTGGCAGGATTCTGGTTGGACCAACGTTGGAGACAGGTAGGCAGGGTTGAGAAATGCAAGTAGGGACGAGCGTGGATTTTCCTTCACAGAGACCGGGGAAAGAGCTGGAGAACTCGGCAAATCCACCTGTAAGAGGAACATTGTGTATTTTAATCTACATGCAGTGCTGTAGGCATTGGTGCCCATACCAATTCTCAGAAAGCAGCGTTTGTTGCATGAAGCTGGGAGGTGTTACGGGGCAGCAGGAACGCCTTAACAGAGTAACTGTATGTGTGCCTCTTCCAGAGGTACCATGACTGTGCAGAACCATCCATCAGCAGGCAAGGCCTGGCTGTGTATCCCCACTCTGCCTGGAACGTTTATTTCTTCCTCTCCGCGTTCCTCAGAAGTTTTTGATGCTTCTTCCCATTCTTAATGGTATGTGGAAATCAGACACTAAAAAAACCCAGCCACAACACCCACCACACCAAAAGCACACACACCTTCTCCTCTTCACCCCAGCAAGCTGTTTTCTAAACACCTCCTGTATCAGGTCTATAATTAGACTTCATTAAGAAAAAGTCATGTTTACTTTATTTGGTAAAAGCATCAATATGTGGTTATTAACGCTTGCTTGTGAAATCCTACATTCTTATTTTCTATGCTGCTCCATAATTAATAGATTTCATCCAACACACTAGAAGAGGTTTCACCTTTCAAAACCACACCAAGCCACAGCTTCTCCATCTCAAGGGGGGGAGGCAAGGCAGAGGGGGGAACTACGGCAGAAGACTTTGCCCAGCCATGGACTCCCCTAGCAAATCACCGCAAGTCTCTACTCCCTTTACCTCTAGCTGGTTCTTCATCTGCACCAGTTATTAAGGCCCCTATCCATATTACGGCTCCAAAACATTTTCATTACCATTTCCCAGCACTGCACTAAACCACTCAGGAAAACTAGAGTAGAAGGACGGATCACACATTTAAGTCCACCTAAAATCCCAGTGGCCACCAAACCCACTCCCGGCCTGTTTTACCATCAGCATGGCAGAGCCATACATGCCATGGAACATGAAGGAAATAAAAAGCAAGGCTGAGACTACTTTAGACACAAATACATAAAATGCAGCTCAAGCTCCATTTCTTTTTCTTCCTTGGCTAGTTCCCGCCTTCCCTTCCACCACAAGGGCCGCATTATAAATCTGTGCTACCAACTGTGGGCCTTACCCACACCTGGGAAGCAAACCCAAAGAAACCTCCAGCAATGAACTTGTACTTTGTCTAAACAGGTTCTCACAAAAGCGAGTTAGCTTTTTCCAAGCCTAGCTAAACCCCAAGCTCAGCTCATTCTCATACTTCATCTTCACAAAGTAGTCTGAAGAGGCACTGGTAGCAGCTGCTTAAATCAGTATGTTATAGACTTTTCTTGACTCTTTTCGCCATCTAACAGCCAACCAGTAAGGGAGAAAGGTGCAAGCCACAGTGGAAGTCCCCAGCTATTTTCCCACACTAAAGCACAGAGACAAGTGGCATTTTAAATGAAGGAAGAGTAATTATAACCGGTTCAGAGTGAGGCACTTTTTTATCATCAAGGAAGTGAAGTATTAATGTGCTAAATCTGCCAAATGCTATGTTCACTATTATTACAGTTTGAAGACGTGAATTAAAATTATTCAGGAGTAAGATAATGTACTGTTTTTTCAAGGCTTGCACTACCATTGCCTGAATTATGCCTATACTTTGGATTTAAAAATCTGTATCTTTAGTAAATGTAAAAAACCCCATGGTAATAGCCATGTGTGTAACAGCCCACTTTATCTGGTAAACAAAAAAGCCAGCAAGCAGATTTCAGAACAAAAGTTTTATGAACAGCGATTCCTGTTCAGTCTCCTGACTTATGGAAAAAAAGAAAAACCAAACCAAAAACCAACCCACTTGTCTATTTTGTTAGATAAGTAATTTTAGACAACCAAGAGAATGCTCATCACAAGAATATGAGGGCGAGGTTCAACTGTATGGGATGGCTGAGGGGGGGGAAGCTAGGCTAAGGCACTGCCCATCACAGAGCCGTACCCCTAAGCTGAAGGGCCTGGGCTAGGACAGAGTAAAGGTTTGGCTCTGACATTTTCTATTCCTGTTAGCTGGGCTTCCTTCTCCTCGCTTTACAACTTCCCTCTTCAGGAGCACAGATGCTGCTTGTTCAACGTAGCAATCAAATGACAGAAGGAGTTTGCAAAACCATTCTCGTGCACACTTGCTGAATTTTCTTCTGTATGGCCTAATGTTTTCCCCTCTGTTATAGGAAGCAATCCTTGAATTTATAGGCATTATATATGCCTCTCAGATTACATTTAATGTACGATATGGCGCCCAGGAGTTCCTTGAGAGGTTGGGGGAAGAAGAGGAAATCAAATATTGGTCTTCGGTTTCATGCGCTCATTCCTTATTTCTTGGGAAGCTTATTGGCTGCTTTCCGGAGCCTCTCTCCGACACAGCTGGAAATAGAGAAGTGACTTTTCTTCCTTGCAAAGAAGCAGCACGAGCAAAGAAAAGATTTTTACATCTGTGCTTTCTTTGTAAAAGACTACATGGGCAAGTTCAACAACAACAAAATTTTCCCAACTGCCCTGTGGATTGGTCTCACCTCAATATGAACACTGCAACTAGAAATTAAGCAAGAAGCTAATATGCAAAAAACCTGAGTTTTTAGGAGATGGAAACCATGCTCTGTCATCATAAGGAGAAATTTTTTATTTTATTTTTATTCTAGGGCTCTGTCAAGGCAAACTTGAAGTGGTTCAAGATTAGATGCTTTGGCACTTCCCCTGGGACATTCATCCCTTCAAAGTCATGTTTCTTCGTCCTACTCAGGCTTTCCTAGTAACGTGTTGCTTCAGTATCTTTACAACACGAATTACAACCACAGAATCCTCTGGCATTATATTACCTATCTTTACACATACTCCCAAGTGAGGTCTCCTTCCCTTTGAATATATTTTAACCTAGTATTAGTATCAGTAGTGAGCTGACTTCAAACAGCATACAGTGACTTGTTTCAAATATTAACCTCTCTTCCCTGCCATTTTCTATAACCACTTCAAAAAGTTACTGACTTTTCAACAAATCTGTCTTTGATTTATGGCACTCACAATAGGAAAAACACTTCCAGATCAGCGTATATTGAAAAATTGCTTTAAAAAAGCACAAACAAAACCCACACCAACAAAACACACTCTTGTATGCATCCTGCTATACTACCGATTTCTTTTGGTGCAAGAAAGATACCATCAGCTGGAACAACAGTATCTGTGCGTACGATCACTGAGCTGCTGTGTCATTATGAGACTAACTTCTATTCTAAGGAAATGCACTCATGACTGTTTGCTTGCATTGACTTACAAAATATATCTTTTTTTAAAAAAACAGATATATTAAAAAACCCCACCACCTAAAGATGCGTAGAAAAAAGGTATTTATTCTACATGTCTGTTTTCTAACACAGATTACGGCCCCCATGAGTTCCCAGAGCTGAAATCTACGCACAGTCTACATGAGGAGCCTCTTAGGAGAAAAGTGCTGTAAGCACTCAGACTACCTGTATGCTTCTGCTGTAAATGAAGCAGACCATCCTCAAAAAACAAACTTCTAGCATCTAGAAAATGAATTTAGTGTACGGGTGGGAGTGCAGTATAGAAAAACCTGAGCCTTAAAAGAAAGATGGGACTGGTTTAGTTTCAAATTCCATAATTTGAGGATGACATTGGCATCAAGGGAAATTTCATCTTTAAATCTCCTTACCTGCCTCAGCTCAGTTGGAATAGGGCTATTGGCAGCACTGTGCAGTTTGTTTTAGTAAGAAAAAAAATACACTTTTCTTCTGGAGCTAGTTTCTAAAGAACACTACTACTCCAGCCTCTGCAAATAATAAATCAATCACAAGAGCATGTTGAAACTGTGGGGAAAAAAATCTACAGGTCATTAACAGAGCTGCTGGGTTAATAAAGTTTCACTGAAGTCTTTGATAAATGTAACTGGGGCCCTGGAAATAGATGGCTGACAAATAACTCAAAAATATTCTCCTATAAAACTCCAAAACAAGCCTAAATAGCTTATGAACCATACTGATTTTCTGTACTCTTGATGGTGAAGCTGAGCTGAAACAGCTCTCTTGACATTCAACAGAATGAAATCACTTCTTGTCTATTTGAATGTTATCAACAGAGGAAGGAGGAAACTGAGTAACTTATACGTACTATACATACACCTATAAAATGTTGGTTGTGTTTAGAAAGATCCTCCCCCCCACGTAGGCTTTGGAAGTTTTTCACTCTACTTTTTCTGACATTGATGAATTCAATGGAAGACTCTTGCCATCACCACTCATGCAATAGTTCCACTACATCTGAAAACCTTGATGGTCAAGCAGGATAAGCAGCACCATGCATCTCCTTCTTCAGTATTCAATAGCCAGTTGCTTCTGTCATGACTGCACAGATATAAGTCAGTGTATCCTTTGGCTGGTAGCAAGTAGCTACCCCTACTCTTAGTCTGTCTTACTTGAGTAATAGGCCCTACCCAAGTTTGAAGGAAAAAAATCTTTGGGGATGATAACCTCCATCATTATGGAAGCAAACTAAAGCAGTGAGAGACAGAAGTGATTTCAGACTTTATCATCCAATATATTTTCCAACAAGAAAGCAAAGGATGTCAAAGTAGCAGTGGTAAATTGTGATGTTCAGCTGGTTGTCCCTTTTATGTTTCTGAGACAAAAATAAATTAGATTCTGCTCTAATTTTAGATGATCCATCAGAAGACTGCAAAGTTCTGTAACTGCCCCAAAGTAACTCAGCTCTTGCTTAGGTGGCTTGTTAAAATGAACAGACTAATGAAATTATTTCAGTTTTAAGCGAGTGGCAAGCATCCCCTGGCTGCAGCGCGTGTAGTGAACAGCCGTGCCGTACCGCATTCCAGTGCTGACTTGTTCTGTTCACTTCTTGCGGCTGCGACTCACACAAGAGTTTCTGCAAAACCATGTTAAGGTGCCAAAAGCCGTCAGTGGTTCTGCAGTCTAAGCCCTGGTGTGTGTGGCAGACAACCCAACACCACCTCGGTCTTGACAGCACAGCCCGTGTTTCTTGCTTAGAAGC